ATATATATATATATATATATATATATATATATATATATATATATATATATGTTGATTAGGTTTGTGGATTAAACTTAGGTATTTAACTAAAAGATCAGAGGACATACCGATGGTTGGTCGCAGGGGAGGGAAAGGGGCGTGCGAGAGCTGTGTGCAATTAACAGCAGAATGCGCCTGGCGTATAAATAAAATGACAAATGACTGTCGAGTTAAATTAGGTTTTCAATCCAGATAAGCGTTTTAAATTATCGTAAAACTGGTTCGTTTGGGCGATGTCAGATTACCCGCGACGTCTTTCTGCTCGCGCTCGTGCGTGTGTGTGTGGATCAAGCGTGTAGGTGAAATATTTGGGAGATAAAATTTACGGTTGGCCAGCGTGTCGCAAACACGAATTTCTTATCTGCCTGCCACCCTGCTCGTCCGCCGTGTGTTTCCTTTAACCCTATACCAGCATTTTTGTTATCTGAATCGGAAACTGCGATGTAAAGTTTCTATATAGCGCGAAGCCAACGTTATTTGGAGCGGCCAATTTTAATTTTCAATTTTCTCACCAGAAATCGCCGCCAAAATTTATTTGTTAGAATGATTTTTAAAGGAGAGCACTAAATAAGAGCTGAACTAGAGGTTTTACATTTGTAGATTAAAGTGACGTGCGGAATTTGGCAAAATAGGGACAAATATACACTTTACTACTTTTCAAATAAGCAGAGAACATCTTCTGTTAAAGCAAATTTCATGAAACATTTTTAGGAAAGCTCAAAACGAAAAGTGTGACTAAATAAAGAAATAAAATAAGTCATGAAAACCGGATTTAATACGAAGAAGAAGCTGAAATTTTTAACAAAAACATAGAGAATGAATTGCACAATTCTTTAAGAACATTTGTTTTTTTCTTTTCTTTTTAGATTACGGTCGGATATTCGAAACTCACTAACGAGTTAAGAGCGATGAATCCAATAGAACCAATTTTGAACAGTTTTATATGGGCCTTAAATTTTAGAGATGACTTTGCATTTCTATTATTTTTGAAATTTAGTATTCTTAAACCACAACCTAAAAAGTCTAGGTAATTTATAAAGGAGTAAATTCTAGCTAAACTGGTAATCTATTTCAAATCGGTATTATTTATTATTATTAAGATGTAATTGATCATTTGAAAAGATATTTGGATTTTTTTATTTGGCAATATTCAAAGCTTCAAGTAAATTTAATTTGTGTCCTTTATTTTCAAAATGTGAAAATTGGAAATCTTGATTTAAACTGTGATTATGCTCTCTTAAATAAATTGCTTATTTTCAATTTTCAATATGACGTTATTTCATTCGTTTATTAAAACATCTTATTCTATAACACAAATCTTTTAATTTATTTTTTGGACTTTTATTAATTTTTCTTTCACCCCTCATGACTTCCATCAAAATTCCTCGTCTCTACAGACTCCCATAGATTCAGGAATATCCCTTCTACCTATTGTCAGCACCATTGGTTCTCCAACATATTCTCTAGCAAAATATCTAACTTCCTTATTAAAACCCTTTACAGGGAAAACTGACAGTTTCGTACTAAATTCCTTTCACTTCATTGAACACATAAAAAGCATTACATTAGATACACAAGATATTCTGGTTAGTTTCGATGTAGAATCCCCCTTTACTGAAATTAAAATCCGAGAATCTGGAATCAAACCTTCTCACCTTAATTGAAAAATGTCGATTCATCAACAACCAACGTAGGAGAAAGCCAGAAGTTCTGTAAAATGTAAATATTATTTCTGGTTGAGTTCTTCGAGTTTTGTATCCTTATCAAATAAAAAATATCTAATTTTTAAATGTACTTCATATTTTAGCCGTTCACTGTATTTTGAGTGAAACCTGTCACATAATATTAAAATCATGAAAAATAAAGTATATCGTAAAAATTTCATTTTGATTTTCCATTGAAAGTTTTGTTGTTAATCTTTATTTTTCGCAAATTGCAAAAAAGTTTCAGGTACTGTTGTTATGAAACACTTATGATAATAATTGAAAATTGAAAATAACACAAATAAAACAAAAAAAACAACAAATGAGAAATAAATTTAGTTCCAAAACCAAAATACTGCGCGATAACTTCTATAGATGTTGAACGCAGATCAAAGACACAATTTTCTTTTGGAAATTTTTGAAAAACCCTTAGTTATCGTTTTGTATTGTATGTTGTGCAAGATGCTATTGTCTGAATGTATCAATGGTATTGCTGAATTCTTAATTGTATTACATTCTGCAAGTTTAAGTATCAATGTATCTATCTATAAATAAAAAAACTTTTATTGCGATTTTTTTTTCATATATATTTATTCAAATAGATCTGAGGTATTAGTAAAACATTATAGGATTTCTTAAAAAGAAGTTCAATTACTAAAAAATATTTCTGGCTTTATTTAAAATAACGTTAATATTCAGAATTTTTCATAAATTACAAACGCATATTTTCCTATTTTGTTGCTTTTGCATTGCATATATTCTTCAAATTTTCTGCAGTTAAATAGGCATAGTTTTTTTTCCACTAATTTTAAACCCCATTCTTGTACTTCTTTTTCCTTAAAAACTTTTTTTGGGTAAAGGTTGAATCTTTATATTTATTCATTCTTTATAATATAATATTCGCATGCCATCCTTTAGCCGCTTGGTCCTGCGGTCGCTAAGATGCCAGTCAGTCCTGCAATCTCACAGTAAGACGGAATTCAATTACGAGAGTCGATCCGGTATCGACTCCTCCATGATCCCCAGTCGCCCTCCTTAAAGAACGGGATTATCCCAGTCGTTAAGAGATTCGGGAAACTGTCGGATAAATGCCACCGGATCAAGTCGGACATGTTTGCCGCGTCCCGATCCCAACGAACGTCTGTCACTTTCCGATATATTCCAGACGTTGCCACATCTTGACAGTGGATCGTCCACTGCGTTTCCCCGTAGCTCAGAATTAAGATATTGTATTGGGCATGGAACTTTTCGTATTTTGGAATATACTATCACAAATTTGAGGGTACATCTTCACGGATTATACCAAAAAGTATGAATTTTTTGCAGTCCACACCAGTTGGAGAATTGCAAGGTGTTAAATTAAAACTACATTTTGGACAGGACGAGGAAGTTTTTATTTTATTTCATTTTGGAGGCGTAGAATCTAGGAAACTGTAGAGTATCAGCTGCCGAAATTAATACCATAAGGATTATGTTTTTAGTAGACTATTTCCAGGGTGTTACACACATGTTGTTTTTTTTTTTTCAATACCCAGGCCACGTGCGCTGCGGTTAAAATTTTTAATTAATGTCGCTCTAATTTTTAAAGACATTAAAAGTATTATAACCGATAAAGTAAACACAGTGAGCTTCTTAAAAAGTGTTTATACAGATTTTCTTCTTATTTCGTCTACAAATTTAGGTTACTTATTTCAAAAACATTTTAATGCGCTTCGTTTTTTTTTTTACTTATCATTAAGAGACTAGCGTACCAATTCAGCATTAATTAAGCCGTTGCATTTTCCGCAATTAATTATAATGCCATTTCACATGCAATTCATTTCCTTTTATGCGCTTGGTGTTACATCCGCTCATCCTGTCGACAAATTACAGCTGCTCCATTGAAATATTCTTTGTTATAAACAATTGTTTCTAGGTTTCAAGCAATTTTGAACTATGGTGGTAAATTCTAATCCTTACTAAGTCAGCGGGTCTGTCGTAAAAACCTTTATTAGCGTATATTAATCACAGACATATAGGGTGAGTAAAATGTATATAAAATTCTTGATCATATTCCAAAATTTTCTTTCAAAGAAGAGTTACCTTTTTTAAAGTAGAAGCGGGATGCCAATTGATTTAATAAGGCTCATAGAAATACAGCCAGTTTAAACACTGAATAAAATTTTGCCTTATATATTTCTGAAAATATTTTGGTGACTTTCTGGATTTATTGTACAGATTTTTGGTAAAAATAAAGTAAGATTAACACAAAAACAAAAATTGAAATCAATACAATAAAATAATCTGCCGTTAAACAAAAATAAAGTGATATATGAATGTCGAGTTGGAAAAAGATGGTGGCAAATGAATTAAAAATGCAACCGGTACGTGAAAACCATCGGGCAAGAAGAAAAACCACCTGTTATGAAGACAGAGAGATTATTGTTACCCCACAATTAAAACCGAACTGGCATAGGACTAAGTTCAAGAACGGTTTTGATAAGACAGCAAATAACCTGCATGGTAGAGTAGCGAGGAAAGTTGCTCTATTATATTTTCTTTTTTTCCTTTGCGGAATATGATTTAAATTGAGATTGTAAAACAGGAATTAGAAAATGGTGTCATGTACTATGGAGTGACGAAACAAAATTGAATGTAATAGGTTCTGATGTCAGGTGATATGTTAGAAGACCGCCCAACCAACCAACCCATCAAAACTTCTAAACATGAAGTGCGTAATCTGAAGTTATGCGGACCTTTTTCTTGATATGGTGTAGGACCAATTTACTGGATGAAAGAGGATAGGGACAAAAATGAATGTGTTCATATTCTTCAGCACATCATGTTAATGATGAAGTATTAGGTATTTAAATATGTTTGTGTGTAATTTAGTCATTATGAAACTATCCGTTGATGTTGTTTTGTGATTGTTTCTTAAAGGGCACTATTTTTGTGGACACATATTATTTATAGTTTTTAATTATTCATTTGTTAAATGTTCTTAGTTGAGAAAAAGTTTATAGAAATAGTACATTTAATGAGAACACATCCGTACAAGATTACACTACTGCAGGAGCTATTTAGTTAGAACTGTTTAGTTAGAAGAAATGTTTTGTTTAAATGACTTTGTTGACTGTATTTACTCGGAATATGATGATTTATGTACTTTCATATTATTCTTATTTCTATATAAGTTTGGCAAATTTACATTTACTTTTACATTACTGACTAGCATCAAGAAACAAGCTGAAGAAAAAACATCTATCCACCTACCGGATTTAAAATGTGTTTCTGGTCAATTTTTAACGCGGATGCGCAATAAACAGCAACGTTGTCGTTCTGTCCCGAACCTAATTGTTACGTTAAAACTTTAGCAACGTGGCGAAACAAAAAAAGGAAATAAACGCCGCATCCGGGGAAACCGCACAAAGCAAAACTTGGAACTCGCAGCTACCACAAAACATTAAACATTTCCACGCGACTACCGATGCGGAATATCTCCATTTACGTCTAGATAATGCGAACTGACTTCTAAAGTGTTATGACTGCGTTAATTCAAGTAGCTATCATCAGCAATTATAATGTAAATCCGTGAGTTTCCGCAGTTTGCATGATCGTAATTATTGTACTACGGAGCACAATTCCGATCGAATCGAGCCGACTACCGCAACGAAATTTCAACGCCCCACATTGTACCAATTCTACCATTTGACTTATAATACGTTCGGTCTTCATAAGAGGCCACAAAAAATCACGATCTGACTACAGAGTACAAAAATAGACCAACGATCTATACGACTTATGATGACTGAGCAAGAATTTTAGAGGTGAAGGTTTTTATTTGAAATTGTTTTAAAAAACTCTCAGCAAATTCACACACTCATATACACACACACGCACACACATAGAAGAAGATTGGTATCATCAGAGTGTCATTTTTCAGCGTTATAATGCACCTTATTATTATAATGTTCTGAACAACATTTATTTTATATATAAGTTTGTAACTATTATTTAACCAGGTTATTCTTATATTTTAAAAGTATACGCATGTCATCCTTGGCCAGCAGGGAACGCCCAATTTTCTTTCATTAAATACAAATAACTCAATCTTTTATAGAGCCAGGAGCCCCAACCAATGTGATTTCCTTAACCAAACACGGCACCTACGCCATTGTGCATTTTGTTATTGGTGCGGTAAATGGGAGGTCCTAAGTTTTTAGGATTTTGGAGTCAAAGCCGTGACAATTATTATGGAATTGTATATATCTTTTATTAAATGTAGAGTGAGTCCTTTATGGTCTATATTTTAAGGTGAAAACTTATAGCATTTAAAACTTTTGGTAAGTAGTCATTTAAATATTATATGACTGATGCGATGTTGTAAGTAGATCAAACTCTTGTTTATTCAGATTAAACTTCGTGATGACAGAATTCGTCTGAAATAAGATATCGATGAGCTGTTGGTGAGTAATATTAATTTAAAATTTAACATTGCATTGCCTTAAAAAGGAAAATTGTTATAGGTATAGGAAATTCAAAAAAAGCCCTTCCAAAAACTGTACATAGATACAATATTATTCATTTATTTAGTATTTACTAATATTTTTTTCAATTGCACTTACCACTCCCTAAAGTTCAATTTAAAATGTTTAAATTTGAATATCAAATGAACGCATTAATTATTCCATAGGATATTACTGACGATAATGTGATATTTGCATGCTTTAACATTACATTGCTATCATTATGAATTTAGAAATAATAAATTACCGAAACTTTTAACAGAAATATGAATGAACTGAAAAAATTCAGATACTAAACAATTCATTTATTTATATTAAATAATCGTTAGTCCAAAAAAATATCGAAAATAAACTAAATGTGTTTCTCCAAAATTAACAACAACATGTAAATCAAATTATATAGTATTCATTACAATTATTTGACCTATTACATCGACCATTTAGTTAGTTAATATCAATACATTATTTTATTGAATCATTCAAATGATGTATTCTTAAGAAATAAACAATTCTTTAAAATCAATAAACCTGTCACTTAAACTATACTTGTGAGATTTAAACACATTTACTTGAAATTTTGTTGTCCGGCCCTTCCTTGAAAAGGGGTAAATGTTTACTTGAATAAATATTCATTTCATATAAACAAATTCCGTATAAGCAATGCAAATACATTTTTCAAAAATTTCAATTTCAATTTAAAAATAACACCCAATTGTTTTAGATTTTTTTTTTTTTTCATTTACACTCAATGCGCCCTTACATACATTTTACAATTGAATTAGAGCAACGCAACACACACCGAACGATACCATAATGCATTTTCACATCAACATTAGGACTACGACAAATCAAGTCATCGCCCTTATTCAACCAAACTGAAATTCTTCTTCTACCAAAGGACCAACCAAACAATTTCGCGACTGTAAATCAGTCATCTGAGACAACGTTCATGTCCCTCCTTTAGCTCCGACCCCCTCAAACAGTGTAAGTTTCCTTGCGATACGATTTTAATTGTTATATTTTTAGAAAGTGACCAACAAAAAGGATAAACAATACCTCTAAAATAAAACAAGTCTCATTTAAAAGGTTTACCTTAAGCTTCCATTTTTTAACAGTGAATTCACTCCTTTGGCTCTAATATTTTTTCTTTATTCACACTGACACAAGAGGGTTTTCGTTTTAATGGGCATTTGTCCAAATTTTCCACAACAATGGTTGTTGATAAAAAAAACTCTTACTGTTCCTGTTATACGAACTATTTACTTTTTTTTAGGTTCTTTCCCACCAACACCAATCCAGAGCGTCTGTGGATCTAGATTGATGCCACTAAACCTCCGAAGAAAAGTAGCGGCGGCAACATTATATAACGACGGTAAAAATATATCCAAAAGACAACAACATAAAATAACAACAAACAATGTGTAGAAGGCATCGACTAAATACACTGCCTTATTTAAAAGATGTTAGAATATTTAGCAACATGTAGAAATTATTAGGATTAGACGAGGGACATATGTGTGTTCCTTCAAAAAAGATTGACAGCCAAGACCCCTAGTAGCCGATGCTGTAGATTGGGTGTTTCAGTGGGCAAACCAGAATTCACAACTCACCAAACCAAACTGTGATGTGTAGTACCCATTATATATACGGATCGAACGAAAGTATAAAATAGTGAAAAAGTTAACTTTCAAAAATAAATGTTAATAAAACTATGCTTTCTTATCTAACTTCTTACTTTAATGTGCACTGAATTTCTGTATAAACCCTTTCAAATATCCCGCCATTTTCACATTTATTACTAAAATTGCACATTACTTTCTGTATGTGTTAGTAATAACAGCAAACATTGCTTTCGGGTAGTTTGAAGTTGAAATCCAATTCATACTATTAAGCAAAATGTCAAAGAGAAAAACGTATAATTTCTTGCATACTCCCGTGTTTTATAGCTTTAAGAAAGGCACAAGTTCATTTTATCAGCATTTTAAATTTTTTATCTTAGGAAATGACCCTTTCAAACTTTGCTTCTGCTGCTGAAATTCGTTTGCATTATCTCTAAAACGGAAATATTTATTGAAAAGGCCTCTCAAGTGCTGAATTGCTAGACCGGTGCGCTGAAACTGTTTCCCATCAGACAAATTCCCCGCGGAATAGTTGCAAGAAGAATTTTTTAACATCTAGGCGTATGTAAATTCGAAATGGCTAACGATTTCATAAATTATTAAGTACCATGGCCTTCATGGTACTTCCTCGGAACACCTTCTAGTCGAATGCCATACCGTACTATTGGTACGCCGTGCTTTATTGCCCGGCAATAAGACTGAGGACGACTAATGCATTTTAAATACCTTGGCGATGATGCGTGTGAGAAATTCTTTTACAGACAAACGCCTCGATCAAATTGCAAGTATATAGATACCGCACAAATATGGATAGGACTTGGCGGTGTGATTTAACATTAAGCGAATGCAATGCTGATGTGCCGAAAAAATTTCAATTCCATTATTCCATATAGGGTTGCAAGAAATCAGAATGCAAATTTCTCAGTACATTTTATTTCGTTTAATCTTTGGGAATAAATCAAAAACCACATGTACTAACATAATTTTCAAACAGAGTACAAGAATCACACCAGATCTAGTTATACATGATGTTAGAAAATGATGACCACTTGTTTACACATTTTTTGAAAATATTACTGTCAACAATATTAATTAATCAACAGTACTTATCAATTATTAAATTACATTTCATAAATTTAAATATACATAACTAGTATTATATGCCATTAGTATGTAATTTCAAGTAATCCTAATCTAATTATTAAATTGAGAAATTCTTGAAATTTGTACGTTAGTTTTACTTAAAAATCTACTGTGTACATCGAAAACATTTTAAAAAAATGATTCACTTTTATGCTATGGACACACTGTATAAGATTGATTACTGCTAAATTTTCGCTCTTCAAGATAAATTTAGTCACCCTCTCAAATCTTTCCGGTGACTATCTTGAAAAAAAATTACCCATAGGAGTTTTATTTTAATTAACGATTTTATAAAAATTGTATAAACAAAATACACATTTCGTTTAACAAACAATTAATCCACACTTTTTTTGGTTTTGATTGGAATGCTTTTATTTTCGCATTTTTGTAATCTATATATATAGATCGTTTTTTGGATTCGGCCTACGCCACTTATATTAAGCTAATGACCTAGTTTTAAGAACGCATACTTTACAACAAAATAGAAACATGTTAAATGAAAACAAAACAAAATACAACTAGATATCTGACTATATAGAACACCAAAATTAATCTGATACATGTACTACAAAGACAGATAACGAAGAGATGAAGAGTTTGATCAATGCATATTAGCAGTTATGACTTATGGGACACAAATACACAAAACACTTCAAGTTAATAGTAGCCGCAACAAGAATATAGCGATCTATGGTGGGATGGATAAGAAATTAAGATCTGCGTAAAAGGGAGATAGGTATTCCAAATAACCAGAAACACTCATTGAAAGGAGACTCAAAAGAGAGACAGGAGGCAGAGAAAGACCATCAATGACACGATAGAATGACAAAAGAAGGATTTCAGGTAGTTGCAAAAAGTACAAGAGGAGTCGTCTAATGTTATGCTCATACTTATGTACATATTTATCACATAGGTAGGGTAATATTTTTAAAGTCCCCGCGTCACACTAAAAAGAATAGAGCTGCCTAAGCCCCCTATCACGCCTCAAGGGCGCAAAACAATGGCCTCATCGCGTGGCGCTCGCGCGTATTGTCCAAAAATGAAACGGGTCCCGTATTTTCAAGACGATGTAAATTGATATCAGCCTCCCCATTGTCGACGACGCGACTTGACAAAACAAACAATAACAAATTCCTGAGTTTGCCGAGGCAACAAAACAAAATTGAAACGGTCGGCTTTATTCCGTTGTCTGTTTAATTAAAAACTTCGAGACAATTGGTGCCCTATCCCTTAAAATGGTATCGATTCTAAGGACAATGCGTATTAGGTATGAATACAGGAGAGTAATAAAACACTGGCAATTTAATTAGTAATATTTGAAAAAGACTTCCACAGGCTACTGCACAAATATTTACAAATCTTCTGGATTCCTTCTGCGTCGGTTGATAATAATTCTCACATACTCACATTTCGCCAATCATCCATCATGTTCGTCTCTTCAAATTTTAACTGAAACTGGTGTTCATTCTACTCTGTACTTGCATACAGTGTATATGCACTTGCATATACACTGTTTGAGGGGGCGAAGCTAAAAGAGGGTCACGGACATTGTCTCGTGTTGGTGAAAACTAATCTCAATCGCAGTTAAAATTGTTTAGCTATTGAGAGACTTCTCTCGATTTACAGATTTTTCTTTGGTAGAAGAATTGATTTCATGCAAGAATTTTAGTTTGGTGGAATGTTGTCGACAACTGCTTATGAATTTATTTGTGGTAGACTTTAAGCTCTTCCAGTTGGAGCTCTTATGATACTATGGTGGCCTGGTTTGTAGATACTGTGTCAGGTAGGATTCAACAAACGCGGGTTGACAATGCCAGATCAAATATTTTATTATATCAGTTGCTTTAATTCATATTGCTGCCGCATTCGATACAGCATGGATGGAAGGGATAATCTATAAATTTGTCAAAATAATACCATGTGCAACGACTGCTAAATTATTTAGTTGATAGAGAATTTCAAGTAATTATGGGTAATGAGAAAAGCAAAACCAAGAAACTATACAAGGGTCTCCCGCATATACAGGGCTGCCACTTCTACTATTCAACATCTACATTCAACCATTCAAGAATTCCGTTACGTGCACGACATAGCCGTGGCTGTCAAGAAAGAAGTCCTCACTATTCATTTAAATGCAATGTCAACGATCTTTAAGAAACGGAAGTATCCTGCTGTCATCTAAATAAGAGATTTGCGAATTATGAACTAAATATCACATGCAGGTGAAACTATATCAAACTATATCACACATTGTGTTTTCGTGCCTGCTTCGAGCCTACCAAGGAAATCTTGATGATGCGATGAAACTCACACCAGAAGCAGTGAATTGGATGGAAAATTTAGACAACCGAATTTTTCCATATAGCGTATTTCAAAAAATAAATAATAAAATAAATAAATTAATAGGGATTGTTTTAGAAAGATTAAATTTATGTTGTTTGCTGAAGATGTTTTTTCAAATACTTGTCTAAAGCTTGATGTACCATTTTTGTTTCGTAATAATAATAGTTGATACCGCTTATGTATTATTCCAGTTTTTTATTTTCATGATTTTTTATTGATTAGTAACTCCATTTATTTTAATTGTTTTTCGTTATTTGGTGACTAATTGTCTTCCTACAGGGTAAAGCAAAGTTTTTTTTTTGGGAGGGGTGGAGAATTTAAGTTACAAACTGATGTAATTTTTCATATATACATCATACCATCCCGAGGAATTTATTACAAATAAATAAACATATTTTTTTGAATTAGAGCCAAAATATTATTTATTTTTCTTTCCATTCAATAGTCCCTGTAGATTTGAATTTTATTCTAAGAAGAAATGTGGGCCAACTTAACTCAAGGAATATACAGCAAAATCTTTTTGGTTTTTCAATTAATAAAACACAGAATTGTTAACATCAAAAATTAAAATAACAAATTAAAAAAAACGAACTAAATATTTTTCACATACAGTTTTGGTAGATACAATAAATAGAATTTTGTTCTTTAGCCGTAAAGAGAAACCAGACAAGGAAAGCGTCGAATTTCACAAAACCCCACGTCCCGGCTCCGCCCTATGGAAAAAAAACTCGAAAATTTAATCCTGACGATATTTAAAATTTTTATCGTCGGCCACAATTAAATCTTGTTTTAAAACAAGCTTCTATTTGGGAACCCAGTGAATCGCCGGCCCTTATTCAACAAGTTTTTGGCCGATCCGCTGGAAAGTTTTAATTAATACAAATATTCTCTGCATGTTGCTTACACATGTCCGCGCGCGTTCACTCCATTGTTTACAGACACCAATGGCGTGCGATTCGTTTTTTTTTTCGTAGTTTGTCCGTGTTGCGCTCGTTAGAACAATAATTAATGGAATTAGGAACGCCGGTTTTGTAAATATGTACACAGTCTATCGTCCAGTGTTACGCGGTTTGAAAAGCAACGTCCTGAATATTCAGTGTGCGTTTTGGAAAATTTATTGACAAAAATATATATCCTAGGTTCGTAAAAGAGAACTATGTTGATAGTCATTACGATTCTGAATCGATTTTTTTCTAATTTTTTTTTACAAACCCAAAGGCTATCCAACAGGCAGACGATGCTGTCCAATTACAATTATTTAAATAATAATTCTTAGATAGTATTGTTGCGAGCTTCAGCCGAGTATAAATAAATATAGATATAAAAACTAGAAAAGAATAAAAACAACTAATAGTACAGTTGCAAAGCTGAGGTGCTTTTATATAGCAAATAAAATACTTGCGTCAAAAAAATATCCCAGGAATTAAAAGGGCGGGTTTGTTTTATTCCTTTAATTTTTTTTGTTTATTATTATATCGGCTGGAGATTTATCATCCACAAACAAAAAAAAGTTCATATTAATATAGGTTTAGAAGTAG